TGGATATTAACCCTTTATCTGATATGTCGTTTGCAACTATCTTTTCCCATTCCGTTGGTTGCCTGTTAGTTTTGTGGGTTGTTTCCTTTGCTGTGCAGAAGATTTTAGTCTTGATGAGGTCCCAACAGTTTATTTTTGCTCTTGATTCCCTTGCTTTTGGGGATGTGTCAAGTAAGAAGTTGCTGCGGTGGATGTCAAGGAGGTTGTTTCCTGCTTTCTCCTCTAGGGTGTTGATAGTTTCCTGTCTCATGTTCAGGTCCTTTATCCATTTTGAGTTGATTTTTGTGCATGGTGTGAGAAAATGATCTAGTTTCATTCTTCTGCATGTTGCTGTCCAGTTCTCCCAGCACCATCTGTTAAAAAGGCTGTCTTTTTTCCATTGGATATTCTTTCCTGCTTTGTCAAAGATTAGTTGGCTGTATACTTTTGGGTCTACTTCTGAGATCTCAATTCTGTTCCATTGGTCTATGTGAGACATCTTTTCCTTAATTCCTTAAAAAGGAGATTAAGTAAAATTTGCTAGTTATATTTTTATAATTGGAATGTTTTTTTTATCCTTTTCAGTTGATTGTGGGATTAAAAATAAAATAACAGGCTACACATTCTTTTACATTTCCGCTACTACTTAACCTGGAGATTACAATATCTCATTTTCAACTTAATGCAATCTAATTCAAAGTTAATACACTTATGCAACCTACAGGCCAGCTTAAGTCTGATCCCAAATGGACCATTTTCATCATGAAATAGGATGCTCTTCTGCCCACTCAACATTATTGCTCGGTGGGTCTGATAGTACTCTGCTTATGATGAGTAACTTTGATCAGAGTTACCTGATGTTCTTTGATCAGGCTGTTAGTACTAGGATGGATGCAGTAGCATGCCTAAAAGTGCTCTTTGAACAATTACGAGTTCTCTGCTGAAGGTGTATGGCCTTATTCAAGAACGTTTGAAAACTGCACCATGATGTGCTTAGAGTTTTCCAGACTTCACAAGGCATCCTTACCTACCATATATCCTTCTAGCACCATGGATTATACTGAGTTATTCTGTTAGTTGTCTATTGGTGTATAAGAAATTACCCTGAAATTGATCAGGTTGAAGCATTAATAAGCATTATCTCATATAACTTCTGTAAACCAGAAACCCAGGAGCAGCTTAACTGGGTGGTTCTGGCTAGGGGTTCCTCAGGAGGGTACATGCAGCTTTAGCCCAGGGGTGTAGTCATCTCAGGGTTTAATTAGATCTGGAGGATCTGCTTGCAAGATGGTTCACTCTTACGGTTGTTGACAATAGGCCTCAGTTCCTCACTGGCTTTTGGAAGGTGACGTCAATTCCTTACCATTGAGCCTCTCTAGAGGACTGTGTAAGTGTCCTCATGATGTAGTAGCTGGCTTCTTGCAGAACTGATCCAGGAGAGACAAGAGAACATTTCGATTTTTTTTTCACGACCAAATCTTGGAAGCCATGCACTATAACTTTTGTTTTGCACCACTCATCCACATCGATATCCAAACCTCTGCTTTTTCCTTCCCCCAAGTACATTCCTCTACCAGGGACCTGAGCTGAGTTTTCAGGCCCTGGTTTTGTACAAAATCATAAGTGCCCACAGGTGAAAGGAGGTTACAGATTCTCCAGGACAGTCCACTATTCCCCCTCAGATTTTGTCCCTTGCCTGTTTTGATTTCAGCTCCACTTCTACACTACGTCTGTACTGTCTGGGTTACACTGTGGTGGTGTCTAAGCACCATCAGATAGGAGGAAATGTCACCCTGCTCTTTGTAAGCTTTGATCTAGCTCTTTCGCTTAGCTGGGGAAGACCAACAGTGCATTTTGTCTCTCAGTACCAGGAAACTGCTACAAGCTTTTCTGGTTTCTCTTTCTTCTCGCAGCAGGCTTCAGGCCGGGCAAAGCTCAGACTACTAGCCCACACCCAGAACTGGCAAGCGCCATCAAAGGCAAGTAAAAAGATAACAGACTGGATAAATAAGCGGTAGTGTAATCATACATTGGGCTACCATACAGCAGTGAGAATGATAGAGCTGTTGCCGCATGAGTGACTTTTACAGTAATAAGAGAAGCCAGACACAAAATAATTCAACTTCTGTGATTCCATTTATATGCCTTTCAAAGACAAACACAATTAATTTATGGATTAGAATCCTAACAGTGATTACTCTTAAGGAGTAGAAAGGAATAGGTAGTAGGAGTGGTAACAGGAGTGACGAGGCCCTTTGTATGCATATAATCGTTGATTTCTTGATCTAGGACTGTTGTTACCTGAACATGTTCATTGTCTGAAAATTAGTTGAGCTGAACATTTAATGATTTGCATACATTTCTGTATATGTGTATTCAGCAAACATTTAAAATGTGTAGGAATTGTTATTATTGGCGTTTCTCTTTACATTTACATATTTCAAATAATATACTAAATATACAATACACTTTATCACAGAGAAGTTTAATGAACAGCTGAAAACCACTAGGATTTCTGCAAATACCAGGGTTTATCTCAGTGTAACTGTGAGCATTTGAGGAGGTTCCGTGCCTTTCTCGTCGAGGTATTTTTCCTCTCGTGTTGGAACTGTGTCCCAGTTGAGGGAGGTAATAGCCATAGCTGATCTCTTCATGGACCTTACAAATACAGCATCTTCTGGGTTATCAAACACAGTTCTGCAAAAATGGCAATCATGTCAGAAAAAAAAATCATTAAACCAAAGTGAAATTTTAATTTAAACAAATAAATGAAATCTTGCCATTTGCAAGAACGTGGATGGAACTAGAATGTATTATGCTCAGGGAAATGTATGTTAGAGAAAGACATCTATAGGATTTCACTCATATGTGGAATCTAAGAAACAAAACAGATGAACACAGGGGAAGGGAAGGAAAAATAAGATATAAATGGACAGGGAGGCAAGCCATTAGAGACTCTATAAACTATAAAGACTCTTTAAACTATAGAGAACAAACCGAGGGTTGCTGGAGGGGAGCTGGGTGGGGCGATGGGCTAGATGGGTGATGGGCAGTAAGGAGGGCACTTGTTGGGATGAGCGCTGTGTGTTATATGTAAATGATGAATCAGTAAATTCTACTCCGGACACTGTTATACTGTATGTTAACTAACTTGGATTTCAATTTAAAAAAATAAATAAATAAAATAAGGAAACAAACAAAAAACCCCCAAATAAATGCCATATTTTTCTGTGTTATTGGTAGCCTCGTACTATTAACAAATAACTCTTGGCTTCTACTGATAAATGACTTTCAGAATAAGGAATGCTATTTTTATTGTATATATTGTTTATCTTTAAAATACAGTTTTTAAACGTATTTGGGATTGGCTATTCCACATTCACGTGTTCATGATTTGAAACCAGTGTTAAATGAGAATATTAAAATATCTGTAGATGTCATATGCATATTAGTATCTTAAGTACACTTTATTAGAAAGTTACTATTTCTCTACATTATGCTCTATCTTATTAGTTTTTAAAACTTTTTGTTAAATTTTTTTTTTGAGAGAGTGAGTGGGGAAGTGGTAGAGAGAGGGGAGAAGAGAAGGTGCAAAGTGGGCTCTGTGGTAACAGCAGAGAGCCCAACATGCGACTCGAACTCATGAACCATGAGATCATGACCTAGGCCAAAGCCAGACTCCACCTACGGAGCCACCCAGCCACCCCTACATTATGCTATATTTTATAAGTGAGCTTGGGAATAATATTTTTCAACCCCGAATCCAATGAAAAAAATACCCAAGTACAAAATTTAAAAAGAATAATGACTTTAAAATTCATTGATGATCTTGAATTTGAAATGCTTTTCATAGTTTAATGAAGTATTTACTTTTGAAAATGTAAATTCCAGTGAGTATATGCTAATCTATGTAACCTTTCACTAAACATATTTAGAGAAACATTAAACATTTGTAATTCTTAGGTTTTCTTTTTTATGCACCAAATCAGCTTTTTATTTATTTCTGGTTAGAATAATAATATTAAAAACCTAAATATGTCAAATATGAATAAAATTGCTTGAGCTTATTTGTCACAGAAAGACAGCAATTTTTCCCATCTATTGAACAGTTAGTCATTTTTTAACTCATTAAAATCTATTTGAGAAATGAAGATGATTTAAAGTCAATACAATTATAAAATAATTTGATAATAAAAGTAAAGTTAAAAAGTCACTTACTTGTCTACATTATTCGCAAATGCAAAATCTAAAAAGAATACATTTTTAAGTTAGTATTTTTCACATATTCGGCATTTTTAAACAGTGGAACAGTGCTATAATGGAAGAGGCTAGAGCACAACTCTCTGGTTTAAGAATGATCATTTGGATAAATAGTTCAATCCATCAAAAATGCCTTGATACTTAAGCCCAAACTGAACTTTTCTCTTAGTTATAGTGCCTTAGGTTTGCCTTTGGTTGGCCGCAAGTTCTTTAATTCAGTATAGATCTCAAAACTCTGAGAACAGAATGCTTAATCAATTAAGTTACCAATGGAATCTAAGTGGGGATTTTTGTCATTAAGATATTCACTCTCATGTGCAGAAAGTGATCCTTTTTCTTAGATAGATACAGGCATCTGTAAATGGACTGCCAGACCAAATGAGGAGAAATATTTAGGGCAGTTTAAACCTTTTGGATTCTTGGCATTAACTTCAAAAGAAACAGAACAAACAAATCTGAGATCACAAGAATCTCCATCTTCCCCAGCTTTGGAGCTCAAAGGCTAGTCCTCAAAGCCTGGATTTCTTATGGCATCTTCCAGAGACTGTCATTGCTTTGTTCATTCCTCTCCAGAGGCCTGGTGCCAGGACAGACATGGAATGTACCAGCACCTGTTGGGCCACCAAAGCCCGCAATACCACAAGCAGCAGGGAGCACATAGCCTCTGCCTTAGAGGAGTTCATGGCATTGTTCCCTTCACAAATGACGACCATTCCCTTTCTGATTTCCCCAGATTCTCCTGTGCTTTTTGTAGAATTTGCATTTTACTTATTTATGTGTTTATATATGTATTTATTATTTATAAGTAATGCCTATACCCATTGTAGGGCTCGAACTCGTGACCCTGTGATGAAGAGTCCCACGCTCTTCTGACTGAGCCAGCCAGGCACCCCTTCTGTATGTTTTAATTACAAAATGCACATTTTACTGATAATGAATATAAACTAGAGAATAGTAGAAAGTGAAATCTCCCTTTGATCTTTCTCAGTCCTCTTACCTAAGGTAATACTATTAAGAGTTTTGTATGTGTATTTACAGCCTATGTGCATACACATGTGTGTTCACACACATATGTGACCTCAGTTCCAATTTTGTCATACTCTTTATTGCTCAATGATGTATTTTTTATACTCTGTACCCCATGGAATAATTTTAAAGTGCAAGAGTTCATATTGTAGGAATGTGCCATAACTTAACATTCTTCTATGAAGGACCATTCAGTGTTTTCATTAGTTTTTCTTTTACTTAAAATATTTCATTGAGCAGTTTTATACATAAATCTTTGTTTATATGCACAAATACTTTTGCAAAAGAGACTTCAAATTTAATTGCTGTTTTGAATGGTTTGCACATTTTATATGTTGATGGATGCTGCCACATTGCCAAGAAAGTTTAGCTGGTTTACACTCCCACCAGTTAAGCTGTGCTTTTTTTCTCCTTTAATCTTTACTAACCTTTTCAACGTTTCATATCGGCAGGATGAAAATGATATCTCATTGTTTTATTTTGCATGTATTTGCTCACTTGTAAGGCTCATTATTAGACATCACATTTATTTCCTTCCCTAAATGTCTTGTTCATAGCTTTTGTCACTTTTTATAATTTGGAGTTAACAAACTGATTTACAGGAATCCTTTAATATAATAAGAATTAACTTTTGCCTGTTGTTTATGTTGCAAGGATTTCTTTCTATTAGGTCTTTTATTTGTTCCTATATCATATAATGTTTTTCATTTTTATGTAGTTTAAATCTGTCAACTTTTCATTTTTATGGCCCTGAGTTGTGTGTAAAGCTTTGATTGTACTTCTCCTTGGAATTATTTTTTTTTCCAAGTGCTTTTCAGTTCATTTATATTTAGATATTTAATCTCTCTGGAATTTGTTTTCCCTTACAATGCCTCCCTAAGAAAGTGGTTTTTGTTTATTTCTTTGGCCAAGGACTGCTCCGTGGCACCACTCCAGGGTCCCCCAGTCGTGACTTCCAGAACACACTCTGCTGACTGTGGATTTTTGCCTTCACAAATCCTTCTGACTCTGCAGTTTTCTCAGTTGCCACCCAGTCTCCAGTTCTCACATTGATCTCTGGTACCTCTCTGAGGCTTCATGCACAAAGAGAACTTGGCATTTGCTTTCCTGGATGTGCCTAGTGTCGTTGCTACTCAGGATCAGAGATTTTTTTTTTTAATATTTTTATTTATTTCTAGGAGAAAGAGAGAGACAGTGTGAGCAGGGGAGGGTCAGAGAGAGAGAGGGAGATACAGACTCTGAAATAGCCTCCAGGCTCTGAGCTGGCAGTCAGCACAGAGCCCGACGCGGGGCCCGAACCCACGAACCGCGAGATCATGACCTAAGCGAAAGTCGGACGCTTAACCGACTAAGCCACCCAGGCGCCCCTAGAGATTTTTTTAAGACCCGGCTTCCCAGGGTTGCAATCACCCAGCTCAAAAGTTTTAATTTTGACTTTTCTCTGGATTCTGTCCTCCTTGCCTTATATCTGGATTCACCCACTCTGGTGAACTATCCAATTGGTAAACAGTCTGCCTGAATTTTTGTTTGTTTGTTTTCTTCTTCTCTCTTCCTAACACATGCCTTCGCTGCTGCACCTAGGCTCTGGGACTTAGCCTTGCCTTGGCCTTAGCACGGGAGTTCCATCTTGTTTGGGGGAGAAGAGCAAATATAGAAATCCAGCAGTTTCACTTAGACCACTACTAGTCATTTAACAATTTTATTGATATTTTTATTTATTTTAATCACCCTTAATGCCTATCTATATTTAGGTAGTTGGTGAGAAATCTGCAAATGTTTACTTCCTTGAAGCCATACAAAAGCCCACAGGGTTTTGATTCTGAAGTTATTGGTTATCATACAATAAGCATGATAATTAATGGAAATCAATTAATGAAATAGGTACATGTCTTTTACCCATTTTATAAGGATGGACAGATGGGATTTGAAGAAACTCCAAGCTGATCTTACTTCTCAAGCTGTTTGAACATAATTGGTTTCTTTCCTAATTTAAGGTTAAAGGTATTGAAATCAAAATGTGGTGTTAAAATTGCCTTATGAATAATCTGAAGTATGATTTCTTCCCAGTTAAAGAATTCAGAGTCCTAAATGTATGTCACAGCATGATGAAATTGATATCAAAACAAATATAGAAACTATAAAACTATAAGACATATTTGAAAAATCTCCATAGTGAGTTTTATTAGTTTCATTATACATGTTTAGCTATTAAGCTAAAGTAAGCGAGGCTAAAGTATTGAGCTAAAAATACTATTTAGTTGCTCGGATATATTGGCATTTTGTAGGAAATGAGTAGATTACAGTCATCCTAATTTTTAGGAAGGCTATAGGCAACATAGTTGTTCAGAAGAACAACTCTCAGATGCAGTGAAACAGTCTCAGTTTTCTTTCTTCCTCAGATTTCATTTTTGGAGGTATAATGTGAAAAGTAGTAAAGAGAATGAAAGGATAATAGTTATTTCAGCAGTCTGGTTACACCAAAGAAAGGTAAAGCCGAAGGTAGTGGTCAGCTGTCTTCCTCATACCTGTAACTATAGTGCTGAAAAACAGATGGTGTGGTCTTACATGGCTTGTTATTACGTGTGTTAGCTGTTTTTAAGAGTGATTTTCTATCCAGAGATTCATTTCCTACCACAGCATGGCTTACTCGCATTAATCTGATAACATTCAGTTTGGGCATCTTATGTGAAGTGGAAAAAAAAAAAAAAACGAGGAGGAGACTAACAGAACAGGTCAGTTTATCACGCACTTCATATGTGTCAGATCAGGCATTGGTGGCAATGTTTTACGTACTAAGCATCGTGATAGCCAGAGGAAGATATTGTCTGTCCCTAGTTTTAAAATAAGAAAGCTGAAACAAATTAATCTCTAGATTAATAAAACTTCTATTTACTAGCATAGCTGGTATTCAAGCCTAGGGGGGGTCTGATCCCAAAGCTTGTGTTCTTGCCCCGCTGCTAGTTGCTCCTAACTGGGGTGTGTACTAGAATCACCTGAAAGGCTTGTTCAAACACAGTTTTCTGGGTCCCATCCTTGAGTTTCTAATTTAGTCCGTCTCTTTGGGGCACGAATTTGCATTTGTCACAAGTTCTTAGGCGATGCTGCTATTACTGGTTTGGGGGCCACACTTTGAGAACCACTGCTCTACACATTTCTGCAGCCAGAACATTTCTTTCATTCTCTGGGACATGCAGTGGGTAAAGGAACAAGTTCAATGGCATCTTGTGGAAACAATCATACAAATTGACAAGTTCTACAATTTAACTGACCTACTCCCTATAAAAGTCATGGAAACAAATTTCGAAATCCAGTTTAAATTTAAAAAGAGTAGTGGCACCTGGGTGGCTCATTCGGTTAAGTGTCCGACTTCGGCTCAGGTCATGATCTCACAGTTCATGGTTTCAAGCTCTGCATTGGGTTCTGTGCTGGCAGCTCAGACTCAGAGCCTGGAGCCTGTTTCAGATTCTGTCTCTCCCTCTCTCTCTGCCCCTCCCCCACTCATGCTCTGTCTGTAAAAAAAAAAAAAAAAAAAACCTATTAAAAAAATAGTAAAGGTCCATAACAACCAAATGTTATTAGGAACCTTGATTGGATTCTGGTTTGAAAGAGTGGCTATAGCAGCCATCTTGGAACAACTGGGAACATTTGAAAACGTATTATTATATATTAGATAATATGAGTACACTCATAGTTATTTAGATATGACAATGGTATTGTTAGTATATAGAAGAATGCCCTTATTTTTAAACTTACAGGCTAAATTACTTGGAAGTGAAGAGTCATGATATCTGCTACTGAAACATCTACATGGTTCAGTGGTATTTTGATGTTTTCCAGTTTACATGGAGTTGGGCATGACCAATCAGATGTAAGTAGAAGCTTTGAGGCGGTCCTTCTTGAATAAAGAGGCAAAGCCTCATATATGAAGGGTGGTGAATATGACAGAATATTAACAATTATTGAAAATATATGTGTATATGTAAGTATTTAGCATTCTTTCAACTTTTCCTATGTTAGGAAAATTTCACATTAAAAGGTTGAGGGGAAAGTCTTGATTTTGCCATTTTTTTTTCTCTTGCTCATTTTTTGAAAACGTTTAATTTTGAAAGAGCAAGTATGAGTGGGGGAGAGGTAGAGAGAGAGAGAGGGAGACAGAGGATCAGGCTCCCCACTGACAGCAGAGAGCCAGACGCAGGTCTCAAACCCAGAATCTGTGAGATCATGACCTGAGCCGAAGTTGGACGCTTGGTGGACTGAGCCACCCAGGTGCCCCACTTGCTCATTTTTGACTAGCTTCCTGGTTGTAGAATTTTTGGCTGACAGTTACTTTTCCTCAGTATTTTAAAGGCATTGGATCATTGTCTTCTGTCTTCCATAAATTGGAGTTTATTGTGAATCTATAACTTCTTATGTTGTAGGTAATCTACCTTTTCATTTTCATTTTCATTCTATTTTTAGATCATTTTGCCTTTGGTGGGGATTTTTGACGTTGTTATATGTTATTTATGTCTTTGGGTTAATTTTCTGTGATTAATCTAAAGATTCATATCATTTATCCAGTTTGGAAAATCCTCACTCCTTATCACCCAAACATCAACTTATGCCCAGATTCTCTATTTTTTTCCCCTCAGGAATACTAACCTGATACTGGACCTTCTGTTTCTAATGTCTCCTTGTCTCATCAGCTAATTAATATGTTCTATCTCTTGCCTTCTCTATGCTACATTCTGGGTAATTGCTTCAAAATTATTTTCCATCTTAATAGTTTTTCTTTCTAGAAAATCTTTTTTTATTTGTGTTTTTGCAAATCTATGTTGCCCCTTTGGCCAAGTGTCATGAGTAAAAGGCTTTTGTCTTTGTCTCTTTTTTGTATCTCCTTGTAAGGCCTGGCTATATAGCAGCCACCTTGTCACCATAAAGCACACTAAAAATAGAACTAGAGATGGATGTATTCTTAAACACTGATGATATTATTGAACTTCGCATTAGCCCTGAACACCCCACCTTTGTACTCGCTGCTGTGTGAGAAAAATCTCTATTAACTTAAGTCAATGAAGCTGAATTGCTGTTACACATAAGAAATTAAATTCTAACTAATAAAACATCACTGAAAATATTCAAATTATACTTATATAGAAGGAGTGTGTATGTAATCCAACCAAAATATTAAGTTATTATTTTTGTGTGAAAGAATTATAGATGGTCTTTATTTATTCTTAATATTTTTGCCATATTATCAACAACTTATAGCTTTAATTGGTGAAATTGTCCAATGATAGTGATGGTAATAACAACCATGGCTTATTTATGGAGACTTTTATATTCACTAGATACTAAAGCAAGAACTTCAAGGTACTATCGCATCATTGTCACATTACCTCATTTAATTTAATTTACATAAATGAGGATAAAATTGCATATCACTTTAATTAGACTAATAAAATTGGAAGATATTTATTTTACCATGTCAGGGTTTAGCTTATTGTAAATTGCAGCCATTATTATTATAGTCAAATTAACCAAAACTCTGAAGAATTTTGATTTCATTTTTGTTTTTCAAAATACCTGGAGGTACTCTCTGAGCCGGTGTTTGCTTAAACGGTGATCTAGGATTCCATGAGGCGTCTACTTTTCCTCCGAATGCTATTGATTGAACTATATGAGCCTTTTTGTGATTAAAAATGGTAATCATTGATCTTCTTTCTTTCTCTGTAACTTCTGACAAATGCAAATAGTAATGTTATTTTGTAGCATTATAGAGAAGCGGAGTGATTCAGAAGATAACTGAATACTTTCAAAAGTGTTTATCTGAACTATGTCATATGTGAACACTCTGTGGGAACTGTAAAGGGCTAATGCAGTTACTTCCTTGGAGGTAAAAGCAGCCCCCCAAAGTGTAAAATGTAATGCAGTGAGGTTATTTTTGTGGTTCATGTAAATCAGACTTACTAGTTTGTCTATAATGCTTAAAGGTATATTCACAAAGAAATTATCATTGATTATGTAAGTTTTAATATATATATTTACAAGATTTCAAAGAAAATTTTTATTTTATTTTTAATTTTTTAAATGTTATTTGTTTATTTCTGAGAGAGGGAGAGACAGCGTGAGCAGGGGAGGGTCAGAGAGAGAAGGAGACCCAGAATCGAAAACAGGCGCCAGGCTCTGAGCTGGCTGTCAGCACAGAGCCCGATGCGAGGCTCGAACCCACGAACCATGAGATCATGACCTGAGCCGAAGTCAGACGCTTAACTGACTGAGCCACTCAGGCGCCCCAAAGAAAACAATTTTTAGATCTTAAATCGGGCTTTAAGAGATTTAGTCCAATTCTCTCATTTTTGAAATAAAACACTAAAATGCTGGGGAGAAATGATTTGGCATCCAACACATTTATGTCAAAATCAGGGCCAAGGAATCCTGTCCTCATGCTCAGTTAAATGGCCTTTCCAATACAGTGATCAAGAGAAATAATTCCTAAACTAGGGCAAATTTCAGAGCAAAAATTTCAAAAATAAATAATTGAGAAACTCTATAAAGAAAACTATTTTCAAAGACTTTCAGCATTTTTAAGCCAGTGAGCTGAAGACTGCCTTTCAAATATTTCTCTGCAAGAGGTGTCCTTACGATTTCGATCAAGCACCTCTACTCCTGGAAGGTGGTAGATGATATATAAACGGTACAGGTTATATTGGCACAGAGGGTTTTGGAAGAGACCTGCAAAGAGAGAATCCAAATTAAGATGACAGATTTCAAAACAGGTTTCATGTGTCACTTGATAAAATATGGGAAATAGAATTAATATGAAACATAAGAACATGGAAAACTCTGCTTCATAGACCAAACCAATGGCCCTGCTAAACTCACTTTTCAGAGCAGCCCTTATTTCCCATTTGTTAAATTCATTCATCCAACAAATATTTTCTGAGTGCTTGCTATATACTAAGAAGTGTGCTAGGTGCTGGGGACATAGGGTTGACGCAAACCTACCCCAAATGAGGAAAATTTTAACATGTCCATAAGTTAATTAGTAAAGATACCAGCTCTGTGGAGGTCTTAATGATGCTGTTTATTGAGGTGTTTGTTTACTCGGTTCTCTTCTAGTCTCAGAGGTCACTTGGTGGCTGTGTGGAGATGGGCAAAGATGCAATCCACTGATCTAATATAGTTTTTTCTTCACTTTATTGATTTTTTAATGCTTTTAAAATTTATTTCTGAGAGAGAGGGAGGGAGAGAGAGAGAGAAAGCGTGAGTAGGGGAGGGGCAGAGAGAGGGAGATACAGAATGTGAAACAGGCTCCAGGCTCTGAACTGGCTGTCAGCACAGAGCCCGACAGGGGCTCAAACCCACGAACAGGGAGATCATGACCTGAGTCAAAGTGGGACGCTTAACCGACTGACCCATCCAGGCGCCCCTTCTTTCTCCACTTTTAACCGTTACACATAGGTCAGATTATGTAAATGTCAGTGGCGCCTTCAGATCTCAGCAGGAGCAGAGCAGAACAGGTGCTGATCGTGCCTCTTGTTTACCTCTGGCCAGAGGCACGTGCTTCTGATTTCCTTTGTGCAGGTGCCGTGACACCTAATGAATCATGCTGTCTAGTACATTGGCTGGAGGTGGGAGGCAGGCGCAGGTGGAAGAGCTCCTGGCATTTCTGACGTCACATACTTTAGACATCCACGTGTAGGTACATTTAAAAATTTTTTCAACTAGACGTTGTGAGAGTTTTATTTTCATGGAAAGAGTGAAGCATCTTCCCTCTTCTTCCCTAGGCATATGAAACAGGGTTACCTTAATACAATGTGAAATAAAACTTTTATGGTTTCCCCTTGAATAGCTTTAGCTTTTGGATTCTGCCAACATGCGATTTCTAGAAAAACACTTCTGGAAAATACATCTGGTGAGGAGAACCACTAGGTGGCAGTAGTAGAAAGAGTTCCAGCCGTCGTACAACTACATCACTATCACAAAATGGGGCTCATGTACCGTACGTGTGAAATTTAGGAGCCGTGCTGTAGCATTGGACTGTAAAATACAGAGAGGCTTGATAAAAGCATGAAAATATTAAGCATTATAAACCATGGAAAGAACAATTGGCAACATAAAGAAGGTAGGGGTGTGCTTCAAAGACGGTGAACTATTTTGATAAAAACTAAAAAATCATCTGGACGTTTCCCCTGTAGGCTATAAAACATGTTGGTATTTATCATATAAACACAAATTTTTCTAGCTAATGAAACCATTACATATAGCTATCCGTTGTGGAAAACTTGGGCTTTAGAGGGACTTAAAGCAGGCAATGGAAGACACCTGGTACATAGTAAACAAAAGCCATCAGAATGAAGAAGGCATAAAAGAAAATGTAGAGCAGGAGCAAAAAAGAATTTAAAGAAAGGAAATATTTATGCATTTGGGGGAAATTAGAGGGGAAAATGAAATGGAATTTTTTAAAGATTTCTTGAGTGACAAAAGTGATTTAGATTTTAATCTTAAAAGGAAAGGAATTTAAAGTGGTAAATAATTTTAATTACTGGACCGGGAGTAGGATGGATGTATATTAAACCAGTAATAAGGACAGATTTTATAAGATCCATAGGGATAATGCATTGTACTTGGAGCCAGAAAGAGAAAAGAACATCCTTCAAGGACGTAAAAGCAAAACGCAATTTGTTACTAATGAGAGTTTAGGAGGAAGAAAAAGTCCTAGATGCTTTAGTATGGAAGCCTGTTCTGTGGTTACTGTGTTGGAGAATCACATCTGACACCTCATAACCCTATCGTACATTAAAACAGTGGGGGGTCGAGTCTGCCATTGCCTGTGATGTTAATTGAAAATGTACCAATGACGTTGATTCTTGGAACACCCTTCCTCTTCTCTTTTCCCTCTGAGAACATTCCTATTTCATTTCTTTTCTTGGCTTTTTCTCCCAGTCTTTAGTTAAGTAACTTCTTTATGTAAATTGAAAATCTTCAAGCTTCAGCTAAACAGAACGTCAAATTTAGATTTACTGCTTGTACATTATTTATGAAAAAGGTGTCTCAATACTGAAGACTTAATGTGCTCATTGCGGCTCACCACTTACTCATCCTCATGTAAAATCTAAGTGATGGCAAGTCAGAACACTGGGCTATTAGCCCAGCCTCTGCTTACATTAACTTTAAAAAATAGGGTTAAACAATTTGAGAGGCATTTCAGCTTTATGATTTTTCACTTTTTTCCCCTTGCTCTTAAGTTTTAGAAAGAAGCAAATATTATTTCCAAATTCTTTTCCCCCTTCCATACTATTAAACACTCAACATTTTGGATTTATGAGTTTTGGATTGATGCTCTGAAATCACCATAAATTAAGTTTCTAAGATATGAAATCGGTTTCCTGTGTCTGAAAGTTCTGAAAGCCTTCCATGATGTATGGGTACATTCCTTTAGAAACTATGAAGCAAAATTGCTTACACTTTCACTTTCAATAGGTTAATACTATTTAATCCACTTTCCCTCTAGGCTACTTATAGAGTACACCTTGGTGGCGCCAGCACTGTCTTGCTTATCTTAATTTGGGATTCTGAGTCTAAGCAATTTACATCTATCCAATAATATATCAAAATGTCTCTGCTACCTTACTGCACTAGCTTGAATTACATGAGTCACATGTATGAAGCTACTTATTATTGAAACAGAAGAGAAAAAAGTTACTTAAATAATTGGCTTCAGTTAATTTTTTAAAACTTTTAAAGCTAAATTAAAAGCCATCATTTAAATGAACATTAAGGGTTTTAAGACCACCTTTGAAGAAAGTTGAAGTGATTAATAATGTACCAACATGTTCACTTTAATAGATGGGAAAATGATACAGAGAATTTAAAAACAGTTATGTTCTGTTTCTGTACAGAGCAGCCTGTGGAAGTGAGTTCAGCTGTCAATGATTTTGACACTAAGATTTTGACGTTGACGTTCTGGCTCAAGGTTACTTAGCAAGGTCAGCATCTCCATTGTTTTGTTTTTTTGTTTAATTTATGTTTATTTTTGAGAGAGACAGAGACAGAATGCAAGCAGGGGAGAGACAGAGGGACAGAGAGACACAGAATCTAAAGCAAGCCCAAGGCTCTTTGCTGTCAGCACAGAGCCTGACGTGGGGCTCGAATCATGAATCGTGAGATCAGGACCTGAGCCGAAGTCGGAGACTTAACCAACTGAGCCACCCAGGCGCCCCAGCATCTCCACTGTTAACCACTGTCTTACTTTAAACAAGATCTGTGGGCCACTGCACAGCACATGCTTGTACTGAATACAGAAGTCATCCCTGATTATTAAAAGGCAAACTTGGGGGCTCTTGGGTGGCTCAGTCGCTTTGGCTCAGGTCATTGATCTCACGGTTCATGGGTTCAAGTCCCGCGTCAGGCTCTGTGCTGATAGCTCGGAGACTGGAGCCTGCTTCAGAATCTTTGTCTCCCTCTCTCTCTGCCCCTCCCCCTCTCATGCTCTGTCTCTCAAAATAAATAAACATTAAAAACATAAATAAGAAAAGGCAAACTTGGACTAAAGCAGGGGATGAAGACAGTGGAGGGGTCAGAATATTTTCTTCTTCGAGACCAACAGCAAAGACCCAGATGGCTCTTTTTATTGGGTGGATTGTTCTGTGTTGTTTGGGAGGAGTGGTCCTCATGGGGTTTTGGAGTGGTGGTGGGTGTTTGCAGCTGATGGCCAAGAAAGAATTCTTGAAGGCATTTTTGGTGCAAAAAGGTGCTTTTATTAAGGCTCAGGGACAGGATCGGTGGGCAGAAAGAGATGAACTTGGGTGGTGAAGAGTGACTGGTTATATACCGTGGAGTTGGGGGAGATAAAGTCAAGAGGAAGTTTCTTAAAGGGTTTTCCATATGCTAAAGAAGATTCATTTACTGGAGGCCTAGCTATTGTTAAGTTAGGGTCATATTTCCCTCTAGCAAAGCTTTATCATTAAGGCAGCAGGGAGTTTCAAGAGAAGGCTATTGATAAGATTGCTTCTTCTTATAATTTACTAAGATACTTGTGAACTGATGGAGACTATTAGTTGAATAGTTTGTTTTCTGTCCTTTGTGCTTGGGCAGCCAGGAGTGCCTGAGGAATATCACACATATCCCGCCTGTAGGCAGAGTAGGGGGTTGTGGTTTGTGGGGTGTCAGCTTGTCTTCTACTCTCTCATCAGTCCTACTTGAGCCATTTCAGGTAGAGGCTCAAATGTAGAGGTCATGAGGCCATCGAGATCATAGCCCCACCCTGATCTCAGTGTCCCTCTTGAAAGTGGCACTCTGTCTCTAATGGTGAAACCTTAAAGAGCTTCTGGGAAGCAAATCTTAAACATTATGCAGTGCTGGGACTTCTGGGTGGCTCAGTTGGTTAAGCATCTGACTGTCTCAGGTCGTGATCTCGCAGTTCGTGAATTTGAGCCCCATGTTGGTCTCTGTGCTGACGGCCCAGAGCCTGGAGCCTGATTCAGATTCTGTGTCTCCTTCTCTGTCTGCCCTTCCTCTGCTCACACTTGGTCTGTCTCTGTCTCCCAAAAAAATAAACATTAATAAAAAAATATATCTAAAAACTTATGATGCAATGCAGGTGTCTGAGTGTACGTTCCAACAATGGAGCTTAAGGAAACAAAGAATTTGAGAGACATGAGGAGAGTGAGGGGCGCCTGGGTGGCTCAGTCGGTTAAGCGTCGGACTTCGGCTCAGGTCATGATCTCACGGGTCGTGGGTTTGAGCCCCGTGTCAGGCTCTGTGCTGACAGCTCAGAGCCTAGAGCCTGCTTCAGATTCTGTATCTCCCTCTCTCTGTGAGCCTCCCCTGCTGACACTGTCTCTCTCTCCCTCAGAAATAAATAAAAAACATTAAAAAAAGTTTGAAATGAGGAGAGTGAAAGTTTAGGAACAGCAGAGTGTTAAGTATTTTGTGGCTGCTGCTGGTGGTGTTTCTCCTCTGTGTGCTGGGAGAGAGGCAGGGGAACTGAAGGTCAGGGAACGTCATCAGCCAGAAAGTGGGTCTTTGAAACATGTAGCTCCTGATTTAGAAAGAGTTCACAGCAAGGGAGGGAAGAGGGACGCGGAGCTGGAGAGGGAGGGTGTGGAAAGGTAGACCGCCTGGAGAGAAGAGGTGGGGCCCTCCTGACTCAGCCTGGAAGTCAGGAATTCCAGTTTCCAGGACCTCACACCCGGCAGCTGGGCTAGGCCTCCCTGAAGCTCCCAGCCCTGTGTCTCCTGGGCCATCTCTTGGCAATCCTCCTCAGAAACGCCAAAGGAGGGGAAAATGCCGAAATGGATTAGAGGTTTTCCTCCAGGCTGTTTTCTCACCCTCTGAAGAACTTGTAATTGGAGTGGAATAATAACAACACTTTAGCATTTTATGCGGTTTTACAACTTGAAAAGGCAAAAATTTTAACACTTGAAAATACATAGATCTCTCATTTTAATTAATGAGCTGAATTTAATCTGTGATTGCAAATGGGGCTCAGAGAAACTTAATCTGAGCACATTACTGCACAAATGCAATTAGTAGTCTGGTACATATGAACCTTTTTCCCATATAATATCTTCTACCAAAATGGGGCAAGCGTTCCAAATGAGCGTATTTGCTACCAAAGCTTTTCTAAAAATGTTTTTTTTTTTTTTTTTAGGTAATTGGACATAACATTCTTTCCATTTCAAAAAGTGATCCCATTACAAGATTCTCAGTTGGAACAACTGTAGTCACGTAACGTGAATTATATCTCTCTGATTATAAGTAGAGGTCACTTCAACTGTTGTGACAGGAAATGATAAGGACATTATATTACCAGGCTGCCCAAACTAGAGAAATGGAAGAGGCAACCCCACCTCGGGGCTGACATAACTGTGCTCACATACTCGCTTAACAAGGGACGTGGTGGCTGGATTTCAGAGTCCACTCAACTCCTGCACCCAGCGCTTTGTTCCAGGCATAATCCTGTTGACTCAGATAGGTCAACCTTGATTGTTAACTTCCACATCTTGTCTTGTAAAATAAATCTGCTGAAATTATGGAGTTCTTACATTTAGCAAATTGTCTATTTAGTTGGTATCAAGTTCCTTCAGCTCTCTAAAAAATATTTAGGCTGAAACTTATAAAACCATACGCTCCAGATCTATCTCCAGGTCTCTCTTGTTTAGTTTTGTGTTCCCGTGTAGCAGAGGGTCACATAGTGAATGCATGATAAATATTTATTGAATGAATGAATAAATGAATAAACAAACGAGAAATATTTATTAAACAAGCAAATGAATAGAAGCGAAACAAAGAAACAGGGCATGAGTTTAAGTTTCAACATTTCTTAGTAGTTTGGTTAAAGCTCTGAGACCTACGTTCCCACTATTAAAGGGGATTTCATTCTAATCATAGGATTTCTGTAAAGATTTAAATGAGACTATGATAAGAGAGCATCTTCTCAACAGGAAAGACATTCAAATATGTTGTACTTATAATGACTATTATTTAAAACGTCATTTTTTTAAAAAGTAGTCTTCACATCCAGTGTGGAGCCTCAAGTAGGTCTTGAACTTAAGACCCTGAGATCAAGACCTGAGCTGAGATCAAGAAGTTGGTGCTTACCTGACTGAGCCACCCAGGTGGCCCAGGTTGTTTTTAAAATCTATTTACTACTATTTACTATTTCCAGACTGAATGTTTCTTAATTCATTATGTAATTTACATAAACCACAGTAAACCCATTTTTGTTTTTATTGCTGTTTCAAAATAACATTAATGTCAAGAAATGCTTTTTAAAAACATGTCTTACAAAGTTAGCTTACTGTTTGAGACAATCCTGAGAGCTAGCTATTTGCCCATTTTATGGGAAAATGAAGATAAGTAAGAGTTCCAGATCAGTCTTTTAATCACAGAAGCATTTGTTCAACACAGGAGGGCCAGATAATTCCAATACGCAGGCCAATCCTGAGTCTTTCACAGACCCTCTCGTGTGTCAGAAATAAGCCTGGAATTATTCGCATGTTAAAAGGCGTCTAAGGGGGCAAGGCTGCCATATTGCCAGCTTGAGGGGACACCATTCAGCGTGTAGTCAGTATCAGTGTGTCCCTTGGGCCTGTGCCATGTAACAGCTCTGAGAAGAACAAGACAGGAAGGAACCAGAGATGATGAAAACCTAAATAGAGGAAGCAGACAAGAAAGACTGGTGATAGGCATGCACTAACTAGTGAGTGGCTGAGGATAATAAGGGAGGGCGAGTGGTCTTGACCGACTGCTCAGTTTGTGCCCCAAGTGGGTGTGCTGAGTGGAGGCATAGGTATGGGAGTCAACTTAGATTACTGTATGTTTCCTAAATATCTGTCCCTAACTTCTTTCCAAGGGAAAAGTCACCGAGATTTTAGATTAACAACAACGAAGCATGAAGTTCCCATAAACTTGATATAATTTTAATATTTGGATTTCAACAATCTACCTATAAGTCATTTTTCCCCACTACAGTACATGTAACTGACTACCCCTGCAAATATATGAAAACCTGAATCACTCTATGTATTGCTCTGATCAGAATCTCCACCATCAACACCATTTTACACATATTCAAAACACTGTTTAAGGTAAGTCTGAGAAATAAATAGAAAATAAATAGGAAAAAAATATATATCAATTTCATGACATTATATAGATAAGTCTCCAAACTAAAGTTGGAAAACCCACTCCCTTATCTGAGTGTCTCTTCCCTTGGTACACCCAAAATCATTTATCCTCTGTTGCAACTGTGTACACGTTATCTACCCTTCAAGATTATAAGCTTATTGAGTAAGAACTATGTATTATTTATTTTTCCGACCCATTTCATGCTGTCTTTCCCTACACAGGTCACCTCCTTCCTGGGGGTGATTCAATATACATGAACAAAATTTTCTGCTTACCCACTGGAAAGCTCTAAAAAATTTTAATTTTTTGGTGTCAGCTTTATTAATACAATTCACAGGCCACATAGCACTCATTGTTAAGTATGCAATTCATATTTTTTAGTATATTCAAAGTGTTGTGCAACCATCACTACAATTTTAAAACATTTTCATCACTCCCCAGAGAACCCCTAATTCCTTAGGGTTCCCCTCTTCCCAGTTCCCCTTTTCCCTCCCAGCCCTGGACAAACAGAAATCTGTTTAAAAATAGCTACCTCTCAGGTTGTTACCACAATAGATATATCTATTCTGGACATATCATATAAATGGAATCACATAATATGTGAAAACACATTTGAAATGAAACCAAACATACAGGTGTAAACACGTAAATCTTTGGTCACTTTAGTCATTTCCCTTTGACATGCCATATCCATTCTCCAAAACATTTTTCTACCTGTTATTCTTTCAAAAACATATTTTAAAAAGATTAAGATTTAGTCTTCTTTTCAGGAATATTTAGCTATACCACTGATCTAATGGAAACTTAAAAAATGTAACCTGTCCTGTGTCACTACTATTTTAACTTATGGCCATGTAAATATACAAATGAATACTTAGGCGCTTCAGATTGAGCATTCCCTTCAGTTCCTTCACTGTTGCATCGATGTCCGTTAGCTCATTATGATGTAGCAGAAGGATATGCAATGAAGGTAGAGAGTGCAGGCCTGAAAAATATTATTTTATACCAAATTTTAAATGTTTTTAATGCTAATTAAACAGGCCAAGTAAACAAAAGCGAAGAATACATTTCAGCTGGTAAAAGGAGTCATTACTAATAATGTGAATTATCATTGAGAATACAACAAAGCATAAGAATTTGAATGACTGCGTGTGATGTGGGAATGTAATGTCAATTTCTTTCCACTGTTACTGTTTTACATTTTTTCTTATAGCTATCATTGTTTTTGTTTGATTTCAGAGGGGTTATTTTCTTAGTCTTCTTTTTGTTGTGTTTTGTCACTGTTAACTTAGATTTATAATGCCAATCGAGGGAATAATTACTCGTTGAATTCAGTACTTTCCCCAAAATTTCTCAGTTAATTTTTTTCTTCACACAACAGGAACAGTATTCACATTACTTTTGTTGATTCTAAATTCCACATTTCCCCACACTTTTAGCATAAATGAAAGTGGGTTGTGTCTTTACAATAGCCACATCATAGGTGAATTCGCAAGATTTTCTTTCTTCACAGTACATGAAATCATGTTGGATCATTTTTTTAAATGTGTTTATTTATTCTCAGTGTGTGTGTGTGCAAGCGGGGGAAGGGCAGAGAGAGAATCCCAAGCACTGTCAGTGCAGAGCCAGAAGCAGGGCTACATCGCACAAACTGCGAGATCATGACCTGAACAGAAATCAGGAGTCAGATGCCTAATGGACTGAGCCACCCAGGTGCCCTGAACTCACGGTGGATCTTAAAATTTATGCCATATTGATCCTATGATACAGGATATTAAAAAATGTTTTGTGCTGTACCTCTTTTTATTTCATGATCATAGTACATCAGGTACTTTTATACCTGACTTGAAACTGTCAGCTTGGATATATAAAATTAATTCAGAGTGAAAGAGGAATTTGGCTAGCAAAAATTATAGTCACTGAAAACATTAGGAGTATTTATAAAATCTTTATAAAGTGTATAAAGTTTGAATGGCAAAATTTCTATTTAAAAGATTGTTTTACATTTTGAATAAGGCACATGACAATATTGGACTAAAACAGTAATCTAAAACACATTTTTTTTAACATTTACTAATTTTTTGAGAGACAGAGTATGAACAGGGGAGGGACAGAGGCAGATGGAGACACAAAATCCGAAGCAGGTTCTAGGCTCTGAGCTGTCAGCAAAGAGCCCGATGTGGGGCTTGAACCCATGAACTCTGAGATCATGACCTGAGCCAAACTTGGCGCTTAACCAACTGAGTCACTCAGATGCCCCTAAAGCACATTTCTTAAAATGATATGTACATAAGAGCATTTTATTTTTATTTGAATTATTTTTTTACTGTTTACTCATTTTTTGAGAGAGAGAGCTCGCTCGTGCTTGTGTAAGTGGGGGAGGGACAGAGAGAGAGGGAGACACAGAATCTGAAGCAGGCCTGTCAGCACAGAACCTACTGTGGAGCTCAAACCCACGAACTGCGAGATCATGACCTGACCCATAGTAGGATGCTTAAATGACTGAGCCACCTAAGCGTCCCCATAAGAGCATTAAAAAAATAGATTTCACTACACATTTTCAATAGAAATGTTAAAACATATTTTTGCCTGCCATTAGCTGTACCATAGTTACCAGTTACTACTCAATTGAAAATCTATTCAATCAGTAGAAAAAATGTAAGACATACCTTCTATCTCGAATATGGCATTGTTGTTTAGATATAGTTCTGTCAGACAATAGTTTCTAGTTAGAAATGTTATTCCATGGAGCTGAAAATGAGAGATAATATATTTCTATAGTAATTACATATATATATATGTGTGTGTGTGTATGTACATATACATAAAATTATAATAAGATTCTTGGAAGTTTGATGTTTGCTGTTATTATTATTTGTGACATTTTGGTCTGGGCTATGAGTTTACATCCAGACTGTCTGAGGACATTGTGAAGAAAAAGATGTTTTCAGATAATTGATGGCAAACCTTTCATAACGTCTTGACCAAAGCTTCTTGCATGCTTTTCAGGCCCTTGCAATCTGGCCTAGCCCCGTTGCTCTATCTCACCTTGTTGCCTCACAGTTCTGCCTCCTGCAGTCACATTGGATGTGGTCCCGCCTACCTGCTAATTCACCATCACACAGTATTTAGTGACCAGTGTGTGCAGTGGGCTCTGTCCTCAAGGCCGAAGTCATCTCTGCATCTGCATGTGAGTCATGCCTTCTCTTTTGCCTGCATGAGTTTTCTTCCTGGTACCTTTCCCGTAATTCTTAAGGATCAGCCATTGGCCAGCAGGGTGAATCACACCACGCTCCACAGGGGTGACCCCTCCTCCGGGGATTTGCTGAAACCATCCTTTGATCTTCTGGCATCTCACTGCCGTCTTCTCACCCTGTTTTGACCCACTTTTTGTTTCACAAACCTTCTGCCTGCTCTGGCTCTTGGAGTCTATGAACCACGTCCGCTTCTCCAGCTCATGCTCCTTCTATGTAGGCAGATCTCAGTTTGGCAGAGGACTCTGTAATCTGGATGCACACAGGAGGGCAGGCCAGTGCTAACAGCCTGACCAGCCACAACTCTTAGGGCAAGGAAAGGCCAAGGCACAGCATCATCGTGTTGCGTAACAACCCATCTTTTTAAGCAAGGCCTTTCTTGACAACCTCCGTGCCCATGAACCTGTTTTCTCGACCACTCCCACACTTCATTTGACTTGTACAGTTAGTCACTTGCTCACTAGTTTTATGACTTCACTAGGAAAAGGAACCATATTTTTTTGGTATCTTATCGTCTCCACCCCTCCCCCATTTTCCTGACAATGCGGTGAAGTCACATCTTACTTTTAAGATCAAAATTTAGTTATATGAACTGTGAACAGGCAAAAGCACTCTTGAAAATTCCTCAAATGAACCATTAAGTACTGTGCCCAGGAAATGGGGTATTCCACTCTAAACTGAATGTCAAAAGTGGCTCTGTTACTCTACAAAAACTCCATTAAAAAAATACTGACTCTATGGCCTCAATTAAATTTAACTATTTGTTTGAGTTGTGTGGATGGAAGAGTCAGAGGTGGGACGGACGTCTTCTAAGAGAAGCAGGTAAGTTAAATCTAAGGCTATCTCTCTACTTAGTAGAGGATTTACCAAGGAGAATAGTTACCAACCGAATGCTTTGTACTTTATAGATACAAAAGTATATGCTCATGATTATAAATTAGTTGTATGTGTTTATTAAAGCTCATCACAAGAATTATTGTTATCAGTGAAATAAAACTGTTTTTGGCCTCTGATGGGTTGATTCGGATAGATGACAACCCATCTGAATTAGTGAAGACTCATTACAAATTTCAGCCATGCCCTTTCATAGCTCAGAAAAGCTATGTTAGATTTGTATCCTAAGTTTCAAAACTGATTTCTTGAATGCATTGTCTTTATTTTTGTTGTTGTTGTTATATCTGCAATGTTTGCAAATGATGAAGCTATAAAAGGCACGTGTGCTGTTTATCTCATCATTTCACAGATTCATCTGCACCAAGTTATGTCAGCACGCATGTAGGAGGACCACCAGCAACTTCACCACAGCTTCTGTTATGTCCTAAGAGGGGCTGTGTTCTTCCCAGGTAGGAGACCAAGCAATACAATGAGGGGCGGGTCCCACTTGGCTTCCCATCCCTTTCTACTCTTCCTTCTGGCCTCCTGACAGCAACTCACTGCCTTCCATCCTTCTCCTCACCACTCCCTGATCTAATGATAGCCACACCCGACATAAATATAGAAAACAAACCCCAGTGGAAACCATGACTTTGTCTTCTCTTCTGTTTCAGTTGCCTGCCCAACCACACATTAACAGAACATTTCTAATTAGTCAAGACTTTAATTTCTCTTGCACTACTTACTGACACAGGAAGAATACTAATAAACTCAATTATTTCATCTTGATTACAGCATCATAGTTTTTACAAGAGCATTAGTCTCCTCGTACCATGATCACCAGGATTTTAAGACTGCACTGTTTGTTGGGGTGACATGCATAGGGGAATGGAGTGGAAAGCGATAAAGCCAGATCATGAGGACCCTGAGAGCCAGTACAAGATTTTGTGCAGAGTGTTACTGTTCAATTTTATTCTAGAAAGAAAATGGTGGGGAAGAACCTGGTTTTGAAGGGATAGTAAGTTTAATAGCAGGAGTTGAAAAAGAAGGATGTTACCCTAATTCAGAAGAATATATGGTGGCCCAGAGTAAAGCAGTGACAGTGAGAGAAGAGAAGGAGAGGGTACTGAGAGGGAGACAGCTCCAAGGTAGAATTCATAGGACTGAATAGGCACTGCAATGTGTAGCAAGTTGTTGAAGTCAAGATCTAGGCATGGGAATTGGACACATGCTGGTTTTTCTGACACTCAAGCTGACACTGTTAAAGTAAAACATTATTATAATTATCCATTTAGAAAAGTCTACGCTATTAATTCTAAGGATCGCCATAGGATTTGTATTGAATGTGACATTTCACAAATCATTTACTTTAGCTCGAGGCTTGGTACATAACAAATGCTCAATAAATAATAGCTATTATTATCTCATCATTATTTTTTTACAGAGAAAGAGCGGAGAGTACTTGAAGCACTTATAAGGAACCACTGAAGTACAATTAGGCCAGCATGAATTTAAAATTAAAGAGGCATTTTTTCATTTACTTAGTTTTAAATGTTCATTTATTTTGAGAGAGAGAAAGAGAGAGAGAGAGCGAGCAAGCACAATTTGGGAAGAAGCAAAGAGAAGAGACAGAGAATCCCAAGCAGCCTCCACATTGTCAGCACAGAACCTGATGTGGAACACAATCCAACAAACTGAGATCACGACCTGAGTCAAAATCAAGAGTCAGACGCTTAACTGATTGAGTCACCCAGGAGCCCCAAGGAGGCATTCTTTTAGAACAGATCTTCTCCACTCTACAACTATTGACATTTTGGGCCAGAATATTCTTTGTTGGGGTTGGGAGGGCTGTCCTGTGCATTATAGTCTGTGTAACAGCAAATCTAGTCTCTACCCACTAGATGCCAGTAGCACACACACCCTCCACCTGTAACAATCAAAAATGTCTCCAGAGAATGCCATCTGTCCCCTTGCAAGGGAAAGAATGGGGGTGGGGGGCTGTGTGCAAAGTCGCTCCTGTTTGAGAACTGCTGATTTAGAGTCAAGGGAAGAGGAAAGTAGTCATATTTATTAAATGCTAATTCTTAGTTGGCCCCTGAGCTAGATGTTTTCACAGACATTATCTAGTATGATGCTTACAATAGCCCTGTTTGTTTTATCCCTTATTTATCTAGAAGGAAAGTGAGGCTCAGTGAAGTCAACCAACTTTCTCAAGGTAACAGAGCCAGGATTAAAATTCAAGTCTGTCTGACTCTTGAATCAAAAATTGGCAGATAGTACACCATAATTTGATTCATTAAAAAAGAGGAACCTCTATATAAAGTAACCAGAAGACATTAATTTGAATATACTGTGAAGTAATAGAAAATATTACCAGTTTGAGTAATGGAAAATACTCTATAAATTATTTTTTCCATTATTTCAGCAATGTTTTTCACCAAAAATCATGTTTAAAATACACTTAAAAATATTTTGCATGAATTGGACAAAAAAATAGATGAGAATCTCTATACATATGGCCAGCATATACTAAACCAACTAAAACTCCATGATGTATGTTAGAAAGCTACTTGAAAAAAGGTAGTAATCCAAAGAATTCTTGCCAATAATTAAAATAGCACATTAAAAATTATTATTTCATTTTTCAAATGCTCTAAGCCATTTTTAGAACAAGGTATGTTACGTATAGATGAATAAATAAATATATATATACCCAAACCTTATTGAAAGAACCAGCTAAAATTATATATATTGGCATATGGAATATTTTCCATCACTCAATCTAAAATTTTCTATTATTCAAATGAAGAATATTTTCTATTCAAAATATATTCAAATTAATGCCTTCTGAATGATATACATAATATATATCAAGTTATTTAATCTTTACAATGAATTCATGAAGTAGGAGTATATTATTACCCTATTTTAAGAAGTGAGACTGAGGTACAGAACTGTTGAGTAACTTGTCCAAGATTACACAGCTAGCATATGGCAGAACTGAGCTTGACTCAGGCTCCAGAGTCCTTGCTGGGAACCACTGCACTTCATTACCACCAGAGTAGGAAGCTGAGCTGTCAGTGAAGTTCATTTCCAGGCTCATCTTGAGTCACTGGCTTGACTTGCCCCATTCACTTGATCTAATGCTGATAACTTAAGTGATATGGGTTTCTCTCAAATATTGCTTCAACGTGGCTGACCTACAATCTACCAAGTTTGAAAAACCTAGGGGCAAAGCATCATAGGCCAGTGATTAAAAAACATGATGAGGGGTGTCTGGGTGGCTCAGTTGGTTGAGCGTCCAACTCTGGCTCAGGTCATGATCTCATGTCTGTGGGTTAGAGCCCCACATGGGGTTCTGTGCTGAGAGCTCAGATCCTGGAACCTGCTTCAGATTCTGTGTCTCCCTCTCTCTCTGCCCCTTCCCTGCTCATCCTGTCTTTCTCTGTCTCTCAAAAAATAAAATGTTAAAAAAAACATGATAAAATTCTATAATTATGTGTTATTTAAAAGGATATATTGTTGCATGTTTGATGGCTGAAATCACAATATCTCCTAAATTTACATAAATGTCTAAATATTCGTTGGGCAGAGTGTTAATAATACATACTGAATTATGTAAGA